CCTATAATTTTATTACTATCTCGAATTCCTTAGAGAAATGTGGTAAATAGAAACTCATTTGGACTCTTTTTATCAGGCAATAAATGAGGTACCTAATGAGGCTCTTGTCTTCCAGTAGACTCGTAACCAATGCAGAGAAGTGATGTAATCGTCTTACAAGTATGAGTTAGTGTGGCAAATGCAACTAAGCCATAGAAGATGCCTTTCATGCCCTTAAAGATTGTACGACCTTCAGATAAGTATGAATTGATTTAGTTGACTAAAATTTTATTGATAAGTTCTTTTCTCTTCCTTTTGACAGTGGATCAGATAAAACCTATAATCTAATGTCAACAGTCATGGGATTATGAGTTAGAAGGTTCTCTTCATTTTTACCACTTGCATGTTCTGACAAAAGTGCAATAAACCTATCATTGGTGACGTTTTAGAAACGAGATATCCTAGCTGTCATAATCTTATATAAATGACTCTTGAAGCTTAGGAAGCTTGCGGCAAGATGAATCAAATCGACTTCCACAATGAACCGAAGAGTCTCCTTAGTGTCAGATGGAAGGCCCTCTTGAGGATTGGATTAAGATCAATATTAATGGCTCTGTTTAGGGTATAAATGGTGAGACTTCTATTGGTGGTCTTTTTTATAATAATCAAGCTAGTTTCATGAACAACATTGGCAAAGAATGTTATGGCAGTTTAGAGGACCTCCAACTTGTCTAAGATCATAATTTTTGTAATACTATTATTGAGGTTGACTTGATACGCATTAAACACTACCAGGATGGTCAAATATCAATAAGTACAATGCTAAGGAGGAGGATATGATGTTAATTGACTGTTGGCTCACAACTAGAATATCAACCATAGAAAGGCAAATGCATATGCTAATCGCTTCGCCTCTTATACTCACATGGCTCCTACTTGTCTCATTAGATCGTTGATGATCTTAGTTGACTTGGCTTATTTGCTTTATTTAGATATTTGTAACACAGTTTGTGTCTGATTGATAGGTCACTAGTTTTTTCATTGTTATTTTTTTTTCTTTAGAAAAAAAATTAATTAGTGAACCTAACATGAAGTAAATAATTAAAAAGATAAATAAACTTAAATGTACTAGTTTTATCACCTAAACTACTTTCCATATTTATTAACAGAATAAATAAACTGTTTTCTCAAAAGAGAAACAAATAAACAAAATGTGGAGAGGCCGGGTTCACGGGGTGTAAAGATTTGAACAAGTT